TATTTGAGGTCTAACAACATTTGGGTTGAAAAGAACAAAGTCCTATCTACACATTGGAATATAGTAAGGGAAAAGTTGTCTAGACTACAGTTACAATGCAGGTGATATAGATGTCTGGTCGTTTGGTTCGTTTCTTCCTTCTAAAAACAAGTTATTGACATCTTTTAAAACTTGGAATCAAAATCTACACATATTGTCTTTCCTTTATTGCTGAAAGTCAGGTGAGAAGTTGGACACTGTCTTCACATCTGTTTAGTATAAATTAAACTGTTGCTCTTTAGCTTAGCTTAGCATATAGTCTTTGACAGTTGCCTGCCAATCTCACAGGGATGCCAGAACTCCAGGACGTCACTGCTCCCAAATGGCACTGTTCACTTCTGCAGTTATATACATATTACAAAAATCACATATAAAGTTATAATCTGTGAGCTTTATATGTGATTATAAATGGATGTATTACCTCTAGTCTAGACAGAGACAGACTAGCCCTGCTTTTGGCCTTTACACTGCGCTAAGCTAAGATAATAGAAGCTAGGCTAAGCGGCTGCTATCTGTAACTTATGTAAAGTTATAGTCAGTAGCTTTAAAAGTGCTTTTAAATTGATGAATTACCTTTGGACAGATCCAGACTAATCCTGCTTCTGGTCTTTATGCTAAACTGAGCTAAATTAAGATGAGCTGAATTAAAGTGGACCTATCATGCTATATTTGAAAAATATATTGTAGGACCATACCTACAGTGGGGCAAACAAGTATTTAGTCAGCCACCAATTGTGCAAGTTCTCCCACTTAAAAAGATGAGAGAGGCCTGTAATTTTCATCCTTGGTATACCTGAACTATGAGAGACAAAATGAGAAAGAAAAAATCCAGAAAATCACATTGTCTGATATTTAAAGAATTTATTTGCAAATGATGTTAAATAAGTAATAAATAAGTATTTCGTCAATAACAAAGTTCATCTCAATACTTTGTTATATACCCTTTGTTGGCAATGACAGAGGTCAAACGTTTTCTGTAAGTCTTCACAAGGTTTTCACACACTGTTGCTGGTATTTTGGCCCATTCCTCCATGCAGATCTCCTCTAGAGCAGTGATGTTTTGGGGCTGTCGCTGGGCAACACGGACTTTCAACTCCCTCCAAAGATTTTCTATGGGGTTGAGATCTGGAGACTGGCTAGGCCACTCCAGGACCTTGAAATGCTTCTTACGAAGCCACTCCTTCGTTGGTATGGTGTTCTTTGGATGCAACTCAGCATTCTTTCTCCTCCAAACACGTCTAGTTGAGTTTTTACCAAAAAGTTCTATTTTGGTTTCATCTGACCATATGACATTCTCCCAATCCTCTTCTGGATCATCTAAATGCTCTCTAGCAAACTTCAGACGGGCCTGGACATGTACTGGCTTAAGCAGGGGGACACGTCTGGCACTGCAGGATTTGAGTCCCTGGCGGCGTAGTGTGTTACTGATGGTAGCCTTTGTTACTTTGGTCCCAGCTCTCTGCAGGTCATTGACTAGGTCCCCCCGTGTGGTTCTGGGATTTTTGCTCACCGTTCTTGTGATCATTTTGACCCCACGGGGTGAGATCTTGCGTGGAGCCCCAGATCAAGGGAGATTATCAGTGGTCTTGTATGTCTTCCATCTTCTAATAATTGCTCCCACAGTTGATTTCTTCACACCAAGCTGCTTACCTATTGCAGATTCAGTCTTCCCAGCCTGGTGCAGGTCTACAATTTTGTTTCTGGTGTCCTTTGACAGCTCTTTGGTCTTGGCCATAGTGGAGTTTGGAGTGTGACTGTTTGAGGATGGGTGGAAAGGTGCCTCTTATGAATACTGATAACGAGTTCAAACAGGTGCCATTTATAGCAAGTTAACAAGTGGAGGACAGAGCGAGGCTCTTAAAAGAAGAAGTTACCAGGTCTGTGGAGAGCCAGAAATCTTGTTGTTTGTGGTGCAAAACTTATTTTATCAAGGAATTAACCAATTAATTCATTAAAAAATCCTACAAATCGGTCCTTCCTGGCTTTTTTTTCTCATTTTGTCCGTCATGAGTTGAGGTATACCTACGGATGGAAATTACAGACCTCTCTGATCCTTTTTAAGGGGAGACTTGCCACAATTGGTGCTGACTAAATACTTTTTGCCCCATGTATATATAAAACATGTATGTAAGTCTCTCCACCAAACACGTTTCACCATTGTAGCATGCCTCATACTGCTCATACCCCTCTTTTGCAGCCCTGTTAGAGAAACGCCGGATCTGGCCTTAGTGAAGAAAAAAAGAGAGGAGGCGGAGCTAATCCTGATCAGAATTCTACCGAGGATAAAGTTAAATTCGGGCTGTGGAAAAACTCCATTCCTGTTTAAAACCACATCAACGATCCACTTCTGCACTCGGCAGCACAAATTCCCGACCCACTGGTTTATCACAAGGGTGAGTTCCCCCCTCCCTTTATTTCCTGCTTCTTAAACACTCGTGCGCTCCCCCCGCTTTGAGTACTTAGCGAGGCTTGCTAATGTAAACAACAGATGACCTTACGTCCACCAACACGGCTCAGGGGCATTGTTTCTGATAGCACATTTCTGTGGGTCCCCGACGGTCCATGTGCGGATGGAAATCTGTACGCTGCTCGTTGTAGCACCGTTTTAAATAGATTGGGTAAAGAGAGAGGAGTTTATTTCTGACGCTGGCGTGAGTTCCCCGACGCGCACCGGGACACATATTTATGTATAACAAAGACCATCACAAAGTGCATTTTGCAGATAGGTCCCCTTTAAGTAAAGCCTAAACTAAGGAAAGGTACAGAATGCAACCTGTAACTTCTAATGTGTAGAGAATGCTTTTATCTTTTAACTGACTCAGTTATGTTGGGTAACGACATCATTACACAAAATAGACCTACATGCTTGAAGCTAGTCTGCTGATCACTTCAACTTGTCATTTGAAAGAGGAAATGGCTGTTTTTACCGCACTTGAGTCAAGTATTTGGAGGGCTTCTCCTGCATACGTCACCGCATTTACACCACCCTTATCCTAACATTCTTGAGTGTACACCACTTACGTGTTTGGGATTTCTATGTTGGCCCAGATATTTTCACACATCAGCACCCACCTGCTAGCCAATTCGCACTGCACGTCCCAAACCATTACGTTCTTTGCACGGCCATAAGTGGTCTATTACACGAACAAAACAATTATAAACGCAACACTTTTTGTTCTTTGCTCCCATCTTTTCGTGAATGAACTCAAAGATCAAAACATTTTCTACACATACACAAAATAACCATTTCTTCAAACTATTGTTCAAAAAAATCTGAATAAAATCTGTGAAGAGTGAGCACTTCTCCTTTGCCGAATATATCCATCCCCACCCTCACACGGTGTGGCATACAAGAGCTGATTAAGACAGCATGATTATGCACGGTGTGCCTTAGGCTGGCCACAATAAAAGGCCAAACTCTGAAACGTGCATTTTTGCTTTATTGGGGGGCTGGCGGGGGGCAGAAAACCAGTCAGTATCTGCGTGTGAGGCTAGGGGTAGGTTCAGGTTCGCGCGTCAACTGTTTCGTTGAATCCGGAGTGGCCTGTGTTTGTCGTTCCATCAACATACGCCTCGCCCATACCAAACCACACCACCCAGGGCCACTCGATTCAACACATCTACTAACTAAACCAATCCAACCCTCACACCAGATA